CACAATGATTGATCGTTCAAATTACGAGATATATTTCGGGACCAAATCGGAGTGCGAGATGATTGCTTAGCTAGCTAGGGATCGTGCACGAACGAACGAATGTGACACAACGGAGTGCTAAAATGGCGTGGATGCTTGACCGGAAGCCTTCAGCCATACAAATTGACTTAAACAGAGAGGGTCAGCATACAGTGTTCGGTGATGAGTGCTGTGGTCAATAATTTTGGGAAATTATTAACAACCACACCCTAATTCGCAGAGATTGATGACTCCTCCCGAAGTGGATGTAGCAACTGTTTCTAAACCTTACGTCCACAGCTTCAATAAATGTAGGACCCACCAGTTGTACAGGCATGGATAAACGCAAATAATGAAGCTTCAGTAAAATAGCAAATATAGGGATATCTAAGAAAGCAAACTGAATAATAGGACAAAATGACGCACACCTGAGATATCCTTACGTACCTGATAACGACGATGTTATTTAAATTCAGCAAAGTAACAGAATATGTTGTAGTGTGCATTTATCTCAGTTAATTTTTTTAGCAGAAAACAGCGAATCCTGCAAGTGTTTCACGAACACATATAGGAACACCAATCTTTGCTTGTATCTATGGATTCTATTGACTTTTAACAATCTGAACACCATACAAAAGTGCAGAAGCGCGAATTTGAATATCAGCCATATTCTTCGGATCCTGTAACAGAAATGGGTACTCTACGACAGCTGATAGGAGAATTTACAACCAAGTACAGGCTACCAACAAGCTGCAAAGGAATTTTTCAAGAGCCAGCCTTCGAAATGTACGTGAGGCATACTTGGCATACAAAATCACTGCATGAACCATATATTTAAGCGTCCTGCCGCATAAACTACCCTCTGAGATTAGATCCTGTGAAAAGCCTGACAGTTTCAACAGGAGCCTAGAAAAACATATTAACATGTCCATCCTAGCCCCTCTAAAAGATCAGAACTGCTGGTATAGAGGTGAAACAATAACATTTCGATATTTAACTACGGAAAGTACACTAGTTCCAATACTAATATAACAATACTTAGTAATTATGCATGATCAGTACTTGAAATTTGATTGTCATTACAATACTTAAAATGATTAAAATATTTATGCAGCAAACGTTCTCTTGCTTTACCAAGCTTGTTTCCTTTATAACACTCAACTATTGAGCATTATGTATTCTTTAATAATACGAATTATAATATTAATTATACTCTTATCATATATAGTTTGATTTACTTTACGGCTCCCTGTAAGACTAACTACCCTCCTTCAGTATACACACATTATAGTATTGTAAATAAATGTTAAGATTTTGTTGGTTCTGTGTTAATATCTTTTTATAATATGTGTACACAGGTTACTTTGCAATGTCGAATGTTTACTGTATGTAAGACTGTTGTGATAATTTAGTATGATAAGTCCTGCCAACCAACCTTACCTTCAGTTCATACTGCCTACGTTGAACCCTAACTATAGTATTCTGCTGAATCTTACTCCACCATTCACAAAACCTATTCTTTTTACTCTTTAAGGTTTTAACTTCTTATAAACTAATCTATTCATTAGGACGCATGTACATATTTATAATATGTTCATAAAGCTGTACGTGGAGACCTACTGGAAGCACTCACTAAGAAAGCTAGGGAAATGGAATATAAGGTACGTGTCTGGCACCGAGCAATATATTTGCTGTAGTCATAACAATCATAGTCTCAGAGACTAACATCATAAAGGGAGGAAGGGTGGCGCATGCTGATCAGTAGATATGGTGGTGGTCACTAAGGTGAATCGCCCCATTCTGCAGGAACAGCAATATGCAATTTGACGGCTTGAGATTTTTATGAGAGCTTATATCGTTATCTTGAAAAAGATAACAATGGTAGCCTAGACAGATGACGGTTCTGCCTTTAAACATATACCATTCGCTCAGCCTATTGTTGAGATGCGAGCCCGTGGGCTCTGCACAGATTCATGAGATATCTTATGAATTAACATGCCTCCCATTATCGGACCTTTGAATATCACTTCACAATGTCTCATCTCAGTCATTTTCTAATGATGTCTTTGCTTGCTCGTCATTATACCTCATTAAACCTAAGATTTTCTAGCTCCTTATGATTTCGATTCGACTTATTCTATTCCTATTCTCTGTAGGGTACAGTTGTACATCAAATACAACAAAAAGGTATGAAATAAAAACAACCGGCTTGGGGATAATTGTGTTAAAACCAATAATGAGCACCATGATAGTGAGACCTATATGGTTAGCATTATACATTGCAAATGAACGTTATCAGCCTAGGGATTGCATAGTTTCCTATTGTATGCCTTTTATGAATGCATTTATTAATGATACATTGCCCTTACTTATTTCATTACACTTTACTGATTCACCTTAACACTTTTGCCTTTCTAAAACAGCTTACTATCCCTTGTAAACGTTTTACTTACCTCAATATTGGTTGGTTATCGTATGCCTACAACCACGGGTTGAAAACGAAACTAATTGGTTTTCCCGCGCAAACTGGAGGACTAATGTGCAAATCAATAATTATGCAGCCTGATTCAGACAGTGAGTCTATTTATATATATGTATATCAAATATTTAGCTGCTGAAACATTATTAACTTGTAGACAATCTACGATTTGAGATTATAACATACAAAATCGCGCCTGCAAAAATGGCATGCATTTTCATTCAAATTTATGTTTATATGAAAAAATATATTATTATCACGAACAGTGCTTAAATGCCCAAGAGCATTTTCATATAAATTCATCCAACAAGAGCAAAATAAGCACCAAAATCACATCAACCGCATTTGCCTGGTCATCTAGACCCAACTGGAATCAACTAAACCAAGCGATTGCCGCCAAGGTGAAGCTGGTGGCGTCATTTCAAATAAGGGACATGCCATATAATTGCCCACTTTCTGGTTTTGCTTGTCCGTACGTGGATTTATATGATCCCATCCTTGACTCTACTGACCAAAACATCGCCTACACCATTAGCAATTTAACTGACCTTTAATTGTGTTAAAAATTTGTGTACTTTGTCTCCAGCTGCACCTACTCAAACGATGTTACTTTGTCACTTTGTCGATGTTTTTATTTTCGAGATTTGAACTGTGCTGTACATAAGCACCAGTTTCAACTTGAACAGAAAATTCTAATCTTTGACTGTTGCATTGGTTTCCTTCGTTATAAATATATATATGTATAATGGTACTGATAATAATAAATACTTTAAAATTTATCAAGACAGCTTAAGTAGACCGCATATTGACGACAACATAATTCAAAGGCGAAAGTTTATTTGCAATGTACTACTCAATATGGGGAAATGACCACAATTTCCCAAACTCTATAGCTAACGGTACTCGAAAAAGTCGATGTTCAGCCTCACCACGAATAAAATTCAAGCGAAAAACAAGAAATACTTTTGGTAATCCAGCATAAAAACAAGATCGGTGATACTGTGGGGGCTACTTTTTTGACAATGAAGCCCACGAAGTCGCTGAAGCTAGAGAGTGACCAAAAAAGAAATCGAGTTCATGGAATGAATACAAAGGTTCTACTATCAATATGTTTACTGGGTCAAAGTGGCGAGAAGTACAGCGAATCCACTATTTCAGTGGACATTTGCGTTACCCAATACTCTCGGCAGAAAAACAGAACAAAGTAGGAGTTTTGTCAACCTCAGGTTCGTGTCGTTAAAATATGGGAAAATTATTCCCATTTGCTTCCAAGATGTTTCTGCAAATTCACATTGCATAAACGAACATGAAGAAGTTTCGGGACAACAGCAAAATTTGAGGGAAGTCATAGAAGAAAACAAGATGACAAAAAATGATTGATTTTGCAGATGATTGTCGCCCCCTAGTTGGTAATGACTATGCTTAAGTGGTTCAAATGATGGTAATGATTGCAACGAAGCATTAAAAAGGTTGTCTCAGTGTGTATTAATGTCAGGCAACGGAAAGTAATGAATACTGCAAATGTTCATGTATCCACTTTATTGCCATCCAGATATGAGCACTGTTTTTGCTTGCCACTATGGATTCCATTGGCACTCAACAACTAAAACCCCACACAAGTTTTCAGTAGAATGAATTCGAATACTTATATTTTTAGGTTCCTGAACTAGAAATAGGTAGTGGATATCAGCTGATTGGAGAACCTTCGGACATTGACAGGCTGCCCACCAAGCTGCAAAGAAGTCATCCAGATGCCACTCGTAGAAATGTACGCTAAGCATACCTGATATTTCAGAAAATTATTCCACGAAATATATTTAGGCGCCTAGCTCTATAAGCTATGCATACATACATAGAAACAAAGCCGAACGAAAATTCTTGAAAAATAAGCTTAACTAAAGTCAAGTAAACATCGAAATCATGTCACGTACACCTGCATAGATCAAACAGAATAACCTAACTCTGACTCGAAAATACCAAAACGCGCAAATACTCATCAGACGAAACAGTTGGCACCACTTCAGACCAGGGATTTGTCATAAAATCGCCATCGAACACTGCACTTATCCCATGATCACTTCCTCTTACTTTACTCTTCTGATCATTCCGGCTAGTCATTCATTCACAATTTATTTATTTTTATGAACTTTTTCTATTCGTTAATTCGTTTTTCCTCCCTACTTTAAACATTTTCCACTAATTACTTCGTGCTTATAATCCCCCTTTTCCAACCTCATCAACGACTAGTGAGTAAAAAGAATAACTGCAGTCACGTCAGAAGAACAGTCTTAACACATTATGTACTACAAACCATGTTTAACCAATCTCCAAAACTGCTCCCATCACAGTGTACGACAGCTACCGCAAGTGAGTAGAGGAACTAACCACAGAGAAGCTCTGCCGTGAGAACTTCACATTTTTAGCATTACATAGCAGCCTGTCCAAAGTAATGAATTAGGTGTGCACTAGCTCGATAAAGGGATATTGGATATTGTACTGCAGCAAATTTTTCAAGGTTACAAAGCTGCGGTACACAATTTCGGGATGTTGGTTGTGAATCCTTGTCGGCTGCTGTCTTCGCGCCTAATATCTGGCAGTTTAAGGCCAGTATGTTGTTCTTTCTCTCAAAATTACGTTTTAAGAACCACAAAACTTGGAACTGGTAAGGTTACAACGAAGGATTACATTTACCCAAGCTTGCCATAATACTGAATTAAATCTCGCTAATTCTGAAATAATACTATGATGAGTAAATTCTGAATTTGTTCTAAAAAGGTTTCTTTAAACACACAGACTGGTTTTCAGCATGACTGGCACTAATTCAGAACCCTAGGGTGTCCCTTTTCGTAGGCATTTTCAGGAGTAGGTTAGAACCTACTGGGTTTGCCTATCATCGTTCTTCCAGCCCTCACAGCACATATTAAACACTGACTAGCATTGTTTTAGAACGAAAAGGCTTAATTCAGCACACAGTGGCAATTTTATCAGCTTAATTTCAGCCCTCTCAGCAAATATCCAGCACTGATGAGCATTATTTCAGACGCTGATCTTATTTTTAAGATTTTGTCGCATTACTTATACACCCAGCGCTCGTTTTAAGCACGACCAGCGTTATTTCAGTACACAGTGGGTGGATTAAATATTAGCTTCCCATAAAAAGGCATGATTGACGCATCGGTTAGAATAAGTTTACAATTACTGTAAGCTTGGGATATGTGTTAATTTAAATGCATTGACGGTTCAAACTTATGATAAAGCCCTTTTATGGTTAATGAATATTTGTCTACCCAATATGTGCTGAAATAACAATGATCGTTCTTAAGAAGAGTACAGCACGCTTAATTAATGCAACGAGACCTAAAAAATAGGATTTGCAGCTGAAATAATGCATTAAGTGGTGAAATAAAACTGAAAGAATCGCCACTATGTGCTGAACTAAGTGTGCGTCGGTGGTAAGGACTCTCGCCGACCATGCACATGGTCGGGGTTCAATCCCCTGCCGACTCACACCTGATATCAATGGTCGGCCTGCAAAATTTGGGCCACCAACATCACATGCTGAAAATTCCATGCTTGTACCAAAAAAATACAGTGTGGAATTAAGCTGTAATAAAAAATCAGTTAGTGCCGAATCTGGGCTGAGAGGACTGAAACGACGCTGATTAACAAACCCAGTTGGTTCTGAGCTATTGCTGAAAATGCCTAGAGAAGCACGGGGTGCTGAAATAGTGCCAATCATATTGAAAACCAGCACCGAGCTCTAGTTCGTGAACATAATCAAACTATTTCTGAACACACACTATAGAATGTTAGATTTAGTTCAGAATTAGCGAGATTTAATTCAGCATTATAGTAATCTTGGGTGTCTATTGAGTAACTCGGTCCGCATATTCTCCATCGCAAATTTCTGACGTGGAGACGTTTCATTCACAAAGCAATGTCGAGTAGATTTTGTTCCACTCTACCGAGGTATCATGGACTTCAGGCGCATTCCAGAAACTCAGGTACACACTTTAAGCACATTGCAGAAAGTTCCCCGTACTGTCCCACTTTTGGGAGTGAACCCGACGATTTTGTCGCTAAAAAATTCCACCTGGGTTAGCCTTATGTGGTTAACTTATAAGTAGTATCTCAAATGTCAGCTACTGCCTAAATTCACATATACTTACTTGGTGCTTTCCTTTTTCGTTACTAGCATCTCCTTTCATTGTAATTGCAAGATTTTTATTTGCATTTCTTCTAATTGTGGCAAGCTGAATAGGTACATTTTTATGCGACCGGATAAAAAAATGTAGTACTTCGAAGTACTACATCGTTAAGTTAAACATCAAACCGATTACCTAACTATTTACCATTAATGTTTTAAGGGACTCAATTGTAAATTCATGTTGCCTTTGTATATTGCTGTCCTCAGTTTCAAGTACGTAACGAGTAGCTTTCGCGCGATATTTCACATAATCGGCGACTGTATTTTGTGTGGTAAGCCCTATGTATTTCCATTCTTCCCACTTGTCTTCGTTCTACTATTGATATTGTGTGACTCATTTATTAATTCCTGTCATACTGCGTTTAGAAAATAAAGTAGCACTTCTTTCCTTATTTTCAACGGTAACGTCACATGTTATGTTGAGCACTAAATAGTAGCATTCCTCAATTGTGTGTGACCTTTTTTGTACGACGGTCAGTCAACCTCTCAAGTGTGTTTGATGGCCAACGACTTACGGTGCTTCTTATTGTTGAATTCAGTCTATATAACTATTTTTTTAAAACAGGATGCAGACAATCACTAACACGTCTGTAGATATGGTAACATTCCACATAATTAGATGAAAGATGATTAGAAAGCTGGTCGTTAAAATGCCTTAAATTTTACTTCTGGCAACTAGCTCCAAACCTCTCAGTATAAGTCGTGGCTGTTTGAAGAAAAAAGATGAGATTGGTTAGTAGTGTCCAGAAGTGATATTCTGGACTCATGTTTCTCCCAGTTCGAATCTTATTAGTTGAATTTATGTCCATCAAATGGATATTACTAAGTTTCGGAAATAAAACTACTAGTCTGACACAATGGTTGTTGTTTCGGCTATTTGGTCGGTATTGTTTCTGCTTTGTGTTGCCCCTTCGCATTTTTAACATAGCAAGGTTTTGGTTTGCAAATAACATTGTAGTGTAGGTAGATTTACGGCAAATACCACTTAGATGAGCATTATGTTTATTTGATTAAGTGTATGTTAAAAAATATTTATGTATAAGTCAAGTTCGGAGAGACTATGGTATACGACTTAAACAAACCTTAGTATCTCAGTCCTCATCACTGAGAAATGTAGCATATTTTTTCGTGCTTTAGTGAAATTTATTTTTAAAAGCTGTTGAATGAATTCTACATACTGTGGCTTGATTGCTCATTGTTGTCACCATATGCATACTCCTGAATTATGTAGCGCCTGCTGTACAAAGAACTGGTTTGTTGCCATCAGTTCACTGGACAATTGAACGTGTTTTGGCTGTCGGTATGTTGCCGTTGTATCCAATCGCGATTTACATGGATACTCCAATGATGAATTTTATTGTGGTTACTGCTGTTTCTATTCATTCCTACTGGTAAGTTCCTTTGTCTTGTCAAACGTTTCTGTATAAATAGTTTTTCAGTGACCATTGAGGATACTATTCCATTGCATGTTTTTTGTATCTTTATTCACTTCTTGCCATCCTGTGGAGATATAAGTTTTCAGAATTGTATTTTTAATGGGGCAAAAACTAAGTATTACTGTTTAATTAAGTGTATTTTGGAAATTTCCTGTTTATTTGTAGGACTGAGGGACTTATATATATGGTAATTTAAAATCCTTCTAGGATTCCAGTATTACAAGCAACTTATAACTACTTGCGGCTGTCAACAAGTAACTTTCTTTGTGTTTGTAACATCTTGTGGTATCAGTTGTCTGAACTCACCTCATGTTTTCTTCAAATATCATGAAATGCTGCGTTTTCGAAACCGGAGTTATTAGAATAGTTAGATCGTAATTTCAGCATATATTGTTAGACTCCAGTGATAGCAGTTATCACTTCCTGATTTAACTACTTCACTTCGAATTACTCACTTAAGCTGGTTATTATATAAGACAGACGGTTCACTTAAAAAACCTGGTACAATATGCACCACTTCATTTGGCACTTCACAAGCAGCACAGAAAAAAATTAGGAAATTACTAAGGGTTAACGGAATGCCCAGTGTTATTAAGCGCCTTTGGTTTCGTCTCTGTACGTTAAAACTAGTGATCACTCTTGTATGACCCAGCAGCATAATAGTAATGTTTATGAGCTCCACTAAGTCTAATTCATTGTATATATTTAAGACGTCTTACTCACGCAATATTTTTGTTTAACACTATTATCATTATCAACTTTCCACTTAATGTTTCACCCCTCATTTCCCATAACATTGCATAGTTATGCTTTTTGGTGTTATATATATATATATATATATATATATATATATATAATCCTTCAAAGTTCACTTTTACATTAAACTTAAAAATACGTAATCTTTGTACTTGATATCTGCGGAGATTAGTTATAAGGTAAAATGGGTTTGATAGACCACTACTGATATTTTACGTCAGATTCTTTTACCATGTAGCTACCTACTTTTAAAAACCTCGATAGTTTGAATGTCTATCTCGATGAATGAATTTAAAGTAGTTCAGTTACTTGATTACAGTTCCATACGTTAACACTTGTAGTGCTTAGCTTAATGATTTTCATCATAGCAACTGAAGATGTACAAGGTGAAAAATGGATGCGCTTAGAGGTACGTCTTAAACTATTTAAAGTGACTCCAAGGGAAGAAGTCATTTCTGAATCGTTTGGAAGATTGTAGTTTATCCATCCAACGAAAAACCTTTTGGTAGAAGACAGTATGTGGCCTAACTTAAAATTAATCACAACTCTATAGAGGCACTCACGTTTCACTTAAATTATAATATCACATTTCTCTACTTGTTTAACCCTTCTTGCTATTGTATAACCTTTGATTAGATGATATTACGCACTACCGTTAATATTTACCTATTAGATATTCAAACACAACGTATGACAACGTGAACCACTATTTAGTAGTTCCAGAGCTTATGTCTTATTCAATTCCTGATTAAGGTTGCTCATAAACTGGATTTTAAGTGGTCCATGAATTTTGTTTATCAAACTGTTGGTGATTTCGCATTGCGAAGTTGTACACACTAAAGTGTTTATTAAGCACTAGTTGATCCAAGTTTTCATTTTCGCCTTGTGGACAATTACCTATAAACACGAAATCTAAATGTGAAGAATCCTGCTGATTACCTCCACACACTAAACATACTAATATTGTTATTTCTAGTAATCCAAATTTAAGAATTCGCATTATCTAGTCATGTTTTTTCCTCTGGTTATCAAGTGAATTTAGGCAATCTAGGTCATTTAGGCGAATGTGATTTCCGATATTGACTACTTGACATTTTTTCTTCTTATTCATTCAGGGGTTTTGATGGAGTGATCAAGGATTACGCATTCGAACGCCGCTATGGTCCTGCACTAATGCCTATATTGCGTACATTGTGGAAAATAATGTGTGGCTTCGGTTTTGGTGGTCTACTGTACTTCAACTTCAATGATGTAGGATTCATTTCAGCTGTGAAAAAACTATGGGCTTTATAAAAAACCTTTTGTCTTATCACCCTAATTTTTTATTGATCTCGAAATAACTTGTAATATTTGGGTAAAATGTGAATCCTTACTGTTACTTATCAGCGTTTGTTTTTTCAAATTAGTTTAATTTTTCGCTGTCTAATGTTTTCGAATACCCCAAATTAGAAACTAAATTCACAATAAATTTGTGTCGCTTTGAGAGAATTTTTCTTAGCTTTATGTAAATGGCTACTAAATGCGGGTTAAATTTCATAACATATCGATATTTTCAGTTAGCTTCATTCCCACTGGCATCTACTTTCTCGTGCTTTCATCGTCTCACTGGACAAATTCGAATTGGAGCATGCGTTGAGGATGTTGTCTAGTAAGACAATGAAGGCATCGTAACGAAACCATCCAGTTCAGAGAATACAACTACTCTAAAAACTGTTATGAGTAAAACAGAAAGACTCATCATCGCTACACGATGCTTCAGCATTTTATAAATGACTGTCACGTGGTCCTGCCTATATCATTTTACATGACTGTCTACACATTGGCGTAGGTAAGAATAGTCTCACTTTTCAGGTGAAAAACGGATTTGAAAAACCAGACATTCAAACTTTGATAAATGCAGACGACACTTTTTATCCATAAAGTGGGTTGTAGGTCTGCTGTCAAAGAAAGCTCTAAGGTTTTGTGCAGGAGCAGCCCGGTCACATACTGAATTTTTCCAGAGAGATAACCATTCATAGATTTAACCTCCCTTTATTGAAAGAAAAAATAGTCTTTATGATTAATCTACTTCGGCAATTCTTATCTGACCAGATTATTAATATTATTGTCGCGAATTACCTAATATTCTTCTTTCTTACAATTAGATTTCCTGTTAATTTATCTGTTTTTACGTACTATCCTTTTCATTTTCAAATAAGTTGGTTGCAACAGTGCATTTGCATTCAGATGCTCCGAAATATACTGCGCAAATGCATTGTATGGCTCGGATATACGTCCTCTAATTCCTTCATGTGGAATTAAAATACTGACGTTTTGTAAGCAACGATGCCGCACTTCATAAAATTTTGAAAGTACCAACGTATCTGGCTAGTATATGTGGTTTACTTATTGTCAACGAAGTATCAATCAGCTTCCTTTCTTTAGTGTGCTATGTACAAGTCAGAAACTTCGCGTGTAACGAAAATGATTTTCAACAGGCGTCTGCAAACTTTCATCAACAGCTGCCACCTTCGCTCGCTCCATACTGAAGAGCAAATGGCCAGAGAGAATAAGCAACGAGAAATTATGTGAACAAACCAAGCAAGAACCAATCGTTAAAAAAATATGTGGGATGGATACTGAACAAAGAATACTCTTTTCGATAACTTCATCATCAGGCTCTACAGTTATATATACTTTATAGTGGATGAATGAATTAGTGTTATGAACAACATTAATGTTTAAATAACATCGAGCCAATAATATCAATAGATTACAGTTCAATAGCATCAACCTAAAATAAGCTGAATGTCAGAAAAGTTAGGAAAGATAATATTACAAATTCATGAATTTATAGTCTCTACTGAAGGCCAGGACAGTAGTAGGGGCTGGACTTGCTTCTTTTGCACACAGAGCACTGGTTGTTTGAGGCGAATTGCAACAGCCTCTGCTGTTTGGAGCATGCGGTGCTTCGATGTTCTTGGCAATTTATTAGGCACCCGCTAGATGATAGAGAAGGATTCTTCAACGCTGGCTTTGTGGCAGGTTCGCACCAGATGGTCCAATATTGAACTGTTAATGGTTTTCACTACACCTTTACTTAACCATAGTGGGAGATGTTCTCGAGCACGAAAAATCAAGCTCCTAGAGCAACGGCCGATACACTTTTATCATGCAAATCTCCTATCAGCATGTGGAAACTTTTTAATGAAATTACTGGCAATAGTAAGCGATGTTATGCTTTTCCCTCTTATTATGTTAATGCTCTTAATCAGTCTTTTATACGCTGTCCTTCTACTATAACTACTTCTAATGTTAGCAATCATGTAGCTGATAACTTTCATGACTAATACTCTCGATGTTCTAAAATGTCTTAAAACGTTCAAGCCCTTACGTAGCCTTGGCCCTGATGGTATTCCTGCATATGTTCTAAAAAAATGTGCAGATGCTTTATGTTCTCCACTAACTAACATCCTAAACGCTTCTTTCTCCAAAAATGTCGTACCTGTTGCATGGAAAGACATTAAAATAGTCCCTGTCCCTAAACTTGGAAATAGCAAGAGCGTAAAGTTCAGACCCATTGCCATCACTTCCCCGTTTCTAAAGCTTATGGAAAAACTAGTACTTCTTAAACTTGAACCCTCCCTTAAAAGCTTTGAAGACCCCAAACAATTTGCTTATAGACAGGGTAGGAGCACTTTAGACGCTGCAGCCGTCTTACACAACAGTATCGTTTCATCATTAGATAAAGGTGCCAAATACATCCGCTGCGCGTTTCTCGACTTCACTTCTGCTTTCGACTCTTTAGCTAAATGTCTCTTGCCAAATAAGCTCTCTATGACAAAAACTGAGTCCTGGGTCACTAACTGGTTGCATTCCTACTTCTTTAACAGAATGCAGTACACCGTATACAAAGGTAAATCCTCCTATGCTGCGCTCACTGAAGCTGGTGTCCCCCAAGGCGCTGTACTCTCCCCACTTCTCTTTTCTTTCTATCTACATGACTTACCATCTTCAAATGACATTAATTTTGTCAAATATGCTGACGACTTGACAGTATCTTTGCCTGTCAAAGTGACTGCTCTAAACTAAATGGCTTTCTGTCAGAAATCAGCCAGTGGTCCAAGGAAAACGGTCTTACCTTAAACCCCTCTAAATGACAAACAGTCAATTTCACCTTTAGGCATAAATCCGACCTAAAGAAACTGGTTGGCTCTCACGAGGTGTGCAACATAGATGGCACTGAAATAGAAACCAGGTCGGAAATTAAATACCTAGACGTCATTCTATCTGCTGATCTTTCCTGGTCGTCTCATATCTTGGCGATTTCTAAGAAAATATTCCGTCTTACCTTCTACATCAAGAAGTTAAGACATTCTGGTATAACCCAACCCTTACTCCTACAATTCGTTAACTCTCGCATTCTGCCTACTATTCTCTATTGTTCCCCCTTAGTTTTTCTAGGGCTACTGAAGAAAGACTATAACATATCATGCAGGATGTTAAAGGTTGTCAGCAGGGTAAGCAACGTGCCACTTAACCAGCTTGTTAATATTCTGGTTGACAGGCACATGGACTCATGTGAAAAATGGGCCAAATCCATTTTATCTAACTCACACCACCCTCTTCATTCACAACTCTCCCCTTGCATCTCATCAAGCAAAACCAGAAGCGTATATAGAAAACTATATGTTCGCACCAGTAAGTACAAAAACTCAACCATACCCTACTTAGCTTGTGTTCTGTGCGATAAAGAAAGCATTAGGCGTGACAGCTATAACGTATTAAATAGTCAGTAGAACAACTGGACCTCGTTTCTCCAACTCATATCATTTATAGGTTAAACATTTTCTTCCTTTCTTTTCCTTTTCTCTCTCTTTTTCTTCCCTTATGTGCTGCTTTGTTCCTTTCTCCCGCTTACGCCAGTAAATATGATAGCACCTACTTTTCTAACACCTAACACTGTTCAACTTTGGCTTTGCTACCGACATGCCAATATGTTGTTGTCATAATGAACTGAGATTTCCTTAATCTATGTAGAATTCTATTTATTGATAATGTTCTAACTGGATGCAATACTGTAGTAAAAATGCTGAGAATTCCATTCTGTATCACAAGTACTGTTTTGGAATAAAGCAAATTATTATTATTATAGCTCGCTCCACAAGCGCAGCTGAACTGGTAGATACAATTTGAAGTGGCTAGTCTATGTACTTCATCTTTCAGTCGAGGAATCACCATCGGTCGTGGAGATAATAAGATGTGTAGTTCGCCAGCATTAAAAGTTCTTTGAACTGATTTTCTTCGTAATTATCTCGCTTGGTATATCGCCCATGAATTGTATTCGTATATATACAGGCTTCTTGTTTACCGACAGTGAGTAGTCCTTTTCCGCTTTCTTTGTCATATGTTTCTTGATAAATTTGTCGGGATAGCTATTTTCGATCAAAGTATCGTATACAATGCTTAATTCATCTTCAATTACTTCTTCTGAGCATATAGCTCTAACTCTGTGGCTGAGGGTCTTTACTAAATTTCTTTTGTACTTGAGAGGAACGAAGCTGTGAAAATGTGTATATTGTCCTGTCCAAGTACTTTTTCTATGCAAATTTCTTTTTATGCTACCATCTGATTTTCTTGTAAGGAGGACATCCAGGAAGGCAATTCTATTTTGGGATTCCTCTTCGCACGTGAATTTCATAGCCGAATGTACTTCATTGAATTCAGTAATTATTGTACTCCTATCCGAGTCATTATCACAAAGAATGAAGGTGTCATCCATATACCGGCAATAAAATGAGAATTTTCTGATAAGGCTGTTCAAAGGTCCATTTTCTAGCTTACCTAGAAAGAAATCAGCCAAAATAACACCCAGTGGGGAGCCCATCGCCACCCTGTCCACTTGCCTGTAAAGCGTGCCGTCAAATTTGAAATTTACATTCATGGTACACCTTCATAACAATTCTTTTAAGATTTTAGTACGGATGCCAATATTTATCGACTGGTTATCCACTTGTTCACATATGTAGTTAACTGTTCCTACTAGAGGTACGTTTGTGAATAAAGATGTTGTGTCCAGAGATATCACGGTTTTGTCTTTGATATTAATATCTTTGATTTCGCCTACGAATTCAAATACATCTTTGACGCTATATTTCACTATCTTCTCATGCAAAGGGTTGAGAATATTTACTAACCATCCAGCTAGAGCATGGTAGGGCGAATTTTGCATATCAAGTATTGGTCTTACGGTACCCCCGGTTAATGCACTTCAAGTAGGCCATACAATCTTGGTGTATACGTGCCTGTTTGTCTGATTTCTTCATATAACCTTTCAGAAAATATCTGCTCCTCCCTTAGTTTCTTCAAACGTCTGGTTAATTCATTCTCTATTTTGTTACTGAAATCTTTCTTCTCCTCAAGTTTGTGAAACTTCTGTGTGTCCTTCAATATATCATTCATCTTTTTAATATAGTCACTTCTATCAAGGAGGGATACTCCTGA